TTTTTTTTTTTTTTTTTTTTTTTTTTTGTGTCATGAAATGACCTTTTATTGTTTGGTTGCTGAGAAACTGAGGGAAAGTTGAAAGAAAATGAAGAATCCATTTCATGATTTGTTGTATTTTGTTTTGCCAGAAGCCGAACTGCTTTCCTAGGTTTTAGCTTGTATGGTTGTTTCATGTGAATCTTAACTTTTCATTGGATAGTTTGGGAATTGGACTGGAGTTACTATGTTTTTCTATCTGTGTCTCTGGCACATCCTGAACAAATAGAATGATCTGTTTAGTGAACACTTTCATATTAATACCCTGTAAAATTTCTTTTGGTGCAAACATTTATAGAGGGAAGTTAAGACCTTTGATAAGTTATGCCGATTTCGGTAAGGCAATAACCTTGGTTGGGATCGAACGCTCAATAGAAATTTTGTGCCAGTCTTCTTTGTGATAAATCGTTTCATACCCTTCTACAATTCCTTCAAAATTTATGAAAAGGAGAGAATTCTATGTAGAAATAACTAATCTGTTTGGTATCACCTTAGGACCATGTTGTGCCTTAGTTTAGTATTGTATGTGCAGGTTTCCTAAATTATCTGCCTGGAAACACTGCTATAAAGACTGTGAATTCTGCAATGTTACATTATTTCATCCTTGTATAGTGCAGTTATTTGCATTTTCTTGCTTCCCCCCAAAAATTAAAAGTAAAAACCCGCAAATTTGTGTAATTTTCCTAACTCGGGGAACTTGGAATTTCATAACAAATATTTCTTATGCAGGAGCTGGGCAGCAATGGCCGGAAAAGCAGCAAAATCTGTAGTAAAAGCGGTTGGAGAATACCAGTATCCATGGCGAGAGAAGTTGGCAAAATATAAGGATGAGCTCTCCAAGGGAGTTTGGGGTTATTGGGAGCTGGGGGCATGGAAACCACTTGGTGTCAGTGCCCGACGTCGAGCTCGTCTCCGCAAAGAAGTTCTACTTGCTGGAGAAGATTGGTCATATGATCCTGAAAGGAAAGAAATGAGAACCAAGAGGAAAGGGCATAAATGTGATAGAATTGCTGCCGAAAAACGGGCCAATACTGAGGAATTAATGCAGAAAATGCCACAGTTGTTGGCGGATTATAGGAAGAGGAAGTGGGAGAAAAAGATGAATGAAGAGGATGCTGCCGCTAAAAAAGTATAGGTTCAATTTTGCTATTTCCTTCATCAAACTGTTCTGTGAGATCTTTGCTTTCTTGGTAATATGCTCAATCGTACTGCATTCCTTGGATGTTTATTCGATGGATTTTTTGGTTCTTTGCCTTTTCTTTTCCCTTCCCCCTTTCTGTACCAAGTTACTGATCAAATATAACAATGATGGGGGATTTTCCATTTTACAAGACTGTCAATTTAGAAGGTTTTTTGGGAGTTCACTGGCTGGATTGTTATGACTAATGCATGGGTTTTAAGCTAGTGGACATCATGAATGTTTTTTATTTTTGGGTGGTAAATAGGCTGCATGAAGGGTGCATTCGACATTCCATGGTAGTTTCAATGGTCCTGAAATGGGTGGCTATTGTATGAGATGACAGGAACGGCCTTGTTCACTGCATTAGTTCCATCTTCAGCAGCCCTTCTGGTTTTTATTTTTGTGAAGGGTTGCATAGTAGCACGAATCGGGTTAATAGAGTGTGGCATTTCAGACCCTCAGCTCTTCATCAAGTAAGTTTTGGTTTTCTGAAAATGAGTGGTATTGTCTTCCTCTGAATCCAGTGGATTGATGGGGATATATTGATGGATAAAAAGGAAGTATATTGCAAGGGACTTTCATTTTCTTCTTGGCACTTGAAAACGTATTTGTAAACTACAGTTCAGTGGCAGGTTCCTTTCTTATTTCGTCGATTAAAAACCTTTATCGCAATGAGTTGCACAGTTGAACCCCTGCAAAACCACCTCATAAAACTCAAATCAATGTAGTTCAAATCTTGCGGGTTCATTCATTTTGCATTTTAGCATTTCAATTTATGCCACTACATTCTCATTTTGATCTGCATAACGCCACCTTCATTTCAGATCGAGCAGTAGTTTTTCTTAGAAATCAGGCCATTTGTTGTACAGTTCGTAAAAGTGTATACTGTCAACACGCGAGGTATTAATTGAGTTAATATCGTATTATATTGGGGTTCATACTATATTCAAGTTATGTCATTTCAGATTTTCGTGATACACAGGATGGCAGTGGCGCACTAATGCTAAGATAACTTGATGGGTCAGCAACAGATGGGAGAGAGATACCATTGCATTGGGTTCCTTCCTAGCACCACTTCTTTACGTTTACGTTGTTGCGCCACTGCTTTAATGAATGATAAAAGGCCAGTAGGCGTGCTCAACGGTCATGCTTTCCATCATGTAATTACTGTCATATTCCATTCCCCTCTTTCGCCATCCTCAAGAATAGGAAACGTTCAATTCTCGTGTAAGCATCATGCCCAAAAGGTCTCCTCCATATATGCACAGTTTTGGGTTGAAGTTGCCCACTGAGGGTCCCCTACAGGTACGAACTATTTGAACTCAGATAAGACTCCGTTCAAGTTCGACTCGACTCGTGTTCTAAACGAGCTGAGATTAAACAATTTTTTAGATTTGTTTTGACTCGGTTCAAGTTTACAAAGCTTAACTTGTTTATATGTAAAATAATTGAACCACTCGGGTTCGGTCCGGACTTGGGCTCGGCTTGAGTTCTAGAGAAGTTAAGCTTGAATAATTTTTTAAACTCGTTTAGAAAAACGAGCTCGACAAACTCGAGCTCAACCTTGCAAAACTCGGCTTGATTAACATCCTCCTTGCATGATGTATCTAAATGCATCATATGGAGAATACTCATTCTGGTAGCTACCATTGTTGAGAACGATCACATTATAGAATTCGGTATTATACAAAAAATTACGATTCGACTGAACTACTTATAACTCAATTCGGTGAAGTTACAATTGAAGAGAGTCATGAATCGAAAATAAAAAAATAGAAATCAATCCTAAATAGCTCTACTAAGTTGTAACCTCATCCAATTGAATTGATTCTAGGATTTTGTTATCAATCCCAAGCAGTTCTATTGGGTTGTAGTTTACCCATTGAATCGTAACGCTTTTAGTATTGTAATCTTTCCAAACTTTTATTTGATTATTCTTCCCACTAAGATTGGAAAGGCTCCCAACTACATGGCAGGGGTGAGTTTGAAGAAAATCTTCACGAATATCCACCACCACTACCACCACCCCCCTCTCCACCATACTAATCTTTCAATGGTATTAAAAAAGCTATGGCGCACTATGTTTGGTTTTTAATAGCAGCTGGTTGACGGGTGTAACATGCAGTGCGCATACAAGGAAACCCACCAGCACAGACTAAAGCTAGACTTCACCACCTAACCAATTCCTTTTTTTTTATGGCAATTCACCCAACCAACAATGCCATCTTTGAGTGACACTATAATAAGCTGTAAACTTGGTGGTTCAAATCAAACCACCCCCCCCCCCCCCCCCCCCCCCCCCCCCCCCCCCCCCCCCCCCCCCCCCCCCCCCCCCCCCCCCCCCCCCCCCCCCCCCCCCCCCCCCCCCCCCCCCCCCCCCCCCCCCCCCCCCCCCCCCCCCCCCCCCCCCCCCCCCCCCCCCCCCCCCCCCCCCCCCCCCCCCCCCCCCCCCCCCCCCCCCCCCCCCCCCCCCCCCCCCCCCCCCCCCCCCCCCCCCCCCCCCCCCCCCCCCCCCCCCCCCCCCCCCCCCCCCCCCCCCCCCCCCCCCCCCCCCCCCCCCCCCCCCCCCCCCCCCCCCCCCCCCCCCCCCCCCCCCCCCCCCCCCCCCCCCCCCCCCCCCCCCCCCCCCCCCCCCCCCCCCCCCCCCCCCCCCCCCCCCCCCCCCCCCCCCCCCCCCCCCCCCCCCCCCCCCCCCCCCCCCCCCCCCCCCCCCCCCCCCCCCCCCCCCCCCCCCCCCCCCCCCCCCCCCCCCCCCCCCCCCCCCCCCCCCCCCCCCCCCCCCCCCCCCCCCCCCCCCCCCCCCCCCCCCCCCCCCCCCCCCCCCCCCCCCCCCCCCCCCCCCCCCCCCCCCCCCCCCCCCCCCCCCCCCCCCCCCCCCCCCCCCCCCCCCCCCCCCCCCCCCCCCCCCCCCCCCCCCCCCCCCCCCCCCCCCCCCCCCCCCCCCCCCCCCCCCCCCCCCCCCCCCCCCCCCCCCCCCCCCCCCCCCCCCCCCCCCCCCCCCCCCCCCCCCCCCCCCCCCCCCCCCCCCCCCCCCCCCCCCCCCCCCCCCCCCCCCCCCCCCCCCCCCCCCCCCCCCCCCCCCCCCCCCCCCCCCCCCCCCCCCCCCCCCCCCCCCCCCCCCCCCCCCCCCCCCCCCCCCCCCCCCCCCCCCCCCCCCCCCCCCCCCCCCCCCCCCCCCCCCCCCCCCCCCCCCCCCCCCCCCCCCCCCCCCCCCCCCCCCCCCCCCCCCCCCCCCCCCCCCCCCCCCCCCCCCCCCCCCCCCCCCCCCCCCCCCCCCCCCCCCCCCCCCCCCCCCCCCCCCCCCCCCCCCCCCCCCCCCCCCCCCCCCCCCCCCCCCCCCCCCCCCCCCCCCCCCCCCCCCCCCCCCCCCCCCCCCCCCCCCCCCCCCCCCCCCCCCCCCCCCCCCCCCCCCCCCCCCCCCCCCCCCCCCCCCCCCCCCCCCCCCCCCCCCCCCCCCCCCCCCCCCCCCCCCCCCCCCCCCCCCCCCCCCCCCCCCCCCCCCCCCCCCCCCCCCCCCCCCCCCCCCCCCCCCCCCCCCCCCCCCCCCCCCCCCCCCCCCCCCCCCCCCCCCCCCCCCCCCCCCCCCCCCCCCCCCCCCCCCCCCCCCCCCCCCCCCCCCCCCCCCCCCCCCCCCCCCCCCCCCCCCCCCCCCCCCCCCCCCCCCCCCCCCCCCCCCCCCCCCCCCCCCCCCCCCCCCCCCCCCCCCCCCCCCCCCCCCCCCCCCCCCCCCCCCCCCCCCCCCCCCCCCCCCCCCCCCCCCCCCCCCCCCCCCCCCCCCCCCCCCCCCCCCCCCCCCCCCCCCCCCCCCCCCCCCCCCCCCCCCCCCNCCCCCCCCCCCCATCTCTCCCTCTCTCATCACAAAATGATCACTGCAGTATTAGAATTCAGCACAAACATGAAGGGCCTTTCTATTTCCTACTTCTGCTTCTCTGTCTTCCTCTTCTCGTTTCGGTCAGAAACCGAAGCAGCTTCTACACAAAGTAATGGCGTTTACATTGTGTATATGGGAGCTGTGGCTCCTGAAAATGGTGCCTCAAGGGATGACCAAGTTCAGCTTCTGAGTTATATGTTAAGAAGGTCAACACACACACACACATGTAAATGTGAAACTGGGACAAAACTTATATATCTGAATCAAAACCTTATACACAGCCTTTTATCTTTTTCTTTTCCAATGTTGATTGAAAAGTATAAGGTTGTCCCATGTTGATGGCATCTTTACGAACATTCAGTTAAAGTATACAGAGAGAGAGAGAGAGAGTGGTTGCTAGTTAACTAACATTTTTGTACTGATTTTGTTTATGTTCGATGAAAGCATAACACCAAGCTTAATGTAGTACATGATATCATCAAAAGTGCATGACATTTTGAGTGAGGAAAACTAACTACATTGTCTTTTCATTTTATTTTCCTCCACATTAGTTTCCCTGACTCATGCTTACAGTTGTGACATTTCAAAACTCATCCTTAAATTCTCATATTCAATATTTTTTCCAGCAAAAGAGATGCACTGGTACACAGCTACAAACATGGTTTCTCAGGCTTCGCGGCTCGTTTATCAGAGGAGGAAGCCCAATCTATTGCTAAGAAACCAGGAGTTGTATCAGTGTTTCCTGATCCTGTTTTACAACTCCACACAACGCGTTCGTGGGATTTTCTAAAGTTACAAACAGATTTGGAAATTGATTCTGGTTCTGGCTCAGATTCAAACTCAACATCAAATGGATCAGACACTATAATTGGCATCCTGGATACAGGTGAGAATTGCATTTGCATGATGGTTACATTTTAAAGTACACCTCATTAAGTCCCTGAGTCCTGTTAATGGGAGTCTGGGAGGGATGATTGTAGTTTACTTGTTGGAAATGTCAAACACAGGTATCTGGCCTGAATCGGAGAGTTTCAGTGACAAGGGTATGGGTCCAATCCCATCACAGTGGAACGGAACCTGCATGGTAGGCAAAGATTTCAATTCTTCCAACTGTAACAGGTAATCCACCACCTTGTTAGGATGCAAGCCTAAACCAGTCCTACCCTAGTAGCACAACAATAAAAGCTATGACCAACCCAATTCTCAGGACTTCTTGATCTTTGCTCATAATATTTTGGGTTTCCTATAATTAGGCCTTTTAAGTGTTCAATTTGCTCCAGGAAATTGATTGGAGCTAGGTATTACGATGATCCTGAAGATGAAACCCAGGGTTCGCCAAGGGACAAGGAAGGCCATGGTACTCATGTTGCATCCACTGCAGCAGGAAGCCCTGTCCCCGGTGCATCATACTATGGTCTGGCAGCAGGGACTGCCAAGGGTGGGTCTCCAGGGTCGAGGATTGCTGTCTACCGTGTATGCACCCTTAATGGATGCCGTGGATCCGCTATTCTGGCAGCCTTTGATGATGCAATTCGTGACGGTGTTGATGTGCTTTCACTATCACTTGGTGCATCAGCAGGGATGGAGATCGAAATTTCATCTGATCCAATCGCCATCGGATCGTTCCATGCAGTTGAGAAGGGGATCATGGTGGTCTGCTCTGCCGGGAACGATGGGCCTTATCCCCGTTCTGTTGTGAATGTTGCTCCTTGGATCCTGACTGTTGCTGCCACCACCATTGATCGTGATTTCGAATCAGATGTTGTGCTAGGTGGAAATAAAGTGATCAAGGTAACTAGTGAACATTCCATCGTACACAGTTTCAACCAATCATACTCATAGTAATGGTTCAATTTTTTTTTATGCTTTTCCTCTTGGATGTTAGGGTGAAGGCATAAATTTTGCTGATATCAATAAGTCTTCTGTATATCCATTGATATATGGCAAATCAGCCAAGACGAGTTCTAAACACTTTGTAGAAGACGAAGCAAGGTACCTTAAAAACATAAGCATCAATTTCGCAATTCTTGTGTTTTCCCTTACAATATGGACTTGTAACTATGGCACTATGAGTTGTTCAGAAATTGCAATCCAGGCTCATTGGATAAAAACAAAGTCAAGGGGAAAATTGTTCTTTGTGAAAACACTGATGATGAATTTTCAGTCCAAGAAAAGCTAGATGAAGTGCAGCACCTAGGCGGGATAGGGTTAGTTTTGAGTGATGATGATGCAAGATCTGTGGCTTCTACTTTTGGTGCTTTTCCAATGACTGTTGTAACTTTGAACGACGCGGATGAAATCCTCTCCTACATCAACTCAACCAGGTAATAACAAAAAAAAAAGAAGAAGTGTTCATCGTAACCTTTCAACGATACACAAAGCAGTCAACTGCTAAGTGAACTAACCCTTTCAAATTTTGAAGTAATCCATTGGCAACGATTCTACCAACAATAGCAGTGACAAATTATAAGCCGGCCCCAACAGTGGCCTACTTCTCAGCCAGAGGCCCTTCATACAGCACAAAAGACCTCCTCAAGGTAAAAGCTGCATTACCCTTTTAGATTGTATTTAAAATCTCTATTGTCGCTGAACAAGAATGATCTTGAAACAAAGGTCTGATGAGGCTGTAATTGGATTTTCATGCAGCCTGATATTGCGGCACCAGGAGTGGCAATTCTTGCAGCATGGCCTGGAAATGACACATCCGTGACTCTCTCTGGCAAGGAGTCCCCTCTCTTCAACATACTGTCGGGAACTTCCATGGCCTGCCCTCATGTCTCGGGGATTGCTGCCACAGTCAAATCTATGAACCCCTCATGGAGCCCCTCAGCTATCAGATCAGCCATCATGACTACAGGTTAGGATCTTGCACATGTTTTACCATTTATGGCTTTGGATTGTCAGTGACATTTGGTGAATCTATGGATTATCCTACAGCAACACAAACAAACAATTTAAAGACCCCAATAACAACAAATTCCGGATCAGTGGCCACGCCATATGATTTTGGAGCAGGGGGAGTAAGCACAACAAGACCACTACAACCAGGGCTAGTTTACGAGACTGGAATAATCGACTACCTACAATTTCTCTGCAGCAATGGCTACGATATGTCCCAAATAAAACTCATCTCTTCAACAATTCCTGTTGGATTTTCTTGCTCCAACACAACTACTAATTTCATCTCCAATATGAACTACCCTTCAATTGCAATCTCCAATTTCAGTCGAAATGGAAGCAAGAAAGTAAATAGAACAGTCACAAACGTTGGTGAAGATGAGTCACTTTATACTGCAGCGGTGGATGCGCCTACTGGATTGGATGTCAAAGTGATACCGAATACATTGCAATTCACAAAGAACATTAAGAAACTAAGTTTTGAAGTGATTTTCACATCCAGTGGATCTGCACCTAAGGAACATGTTTTCGGCTCAATTACATGGACCGGTGGCAAGTATAAAGTCCGGAGTCCATTTGTTGTAACCAGTGTCTAGAGTACAAACATCCTTATGGTCATGGTTCATTCCGGGACTACTGTCATGATCCCGAGATCCTCTTGTAGATAAGCTTACATTAAACACTTCAAGGGACTAATGAAAGACCACAACCATGTCTTTAACATCGTCAAAACCTAGCAGGCAGGAACTCAAAGAAGCTGTCTAAATTTTCTCTAAGTTACTCTAAAGCTGTTCCTGATCTCCATGAATTAACCTAAACAATTAGCAAGATAAGATGACCAAGGCCATGTGTGGTAACACTGCTTCACAAACGCGTTCACATACAACAAGTGTGTTACAATTCAGTTATGCGTGCCTTATTGTTATTTTTATTGAACGGAATGTGAAACAGATAATCATTTTATACTAGCGTTGTGTGTGAATTAATATTTTTTAACTGAATTTCAAGATTATAGAAGGCAGCACAAGTGTAGATTGTCTTAAGTCAGTCTTGGCGCTCACAGTCCATTGCATTGCACAATTATAAAGTTCCAAACAACAGAATTCTTCTCCCATTCATTAATATTTGAGTAAAAAGCTTTTAGGAATTGTAACAATCATTTCGAAAACTACCATTACTTGCTATTAGCAACCAAAATATGCCGACATGCAATAATAAAAAAGGAAATCCTTCCTACAAAAAATGAGACCCCGACAGGGAAGGAAATTGCAGAAGAGTGATCATAAACACCAAGTAGACCGGAACATTAAACCTAACCTTTACACAGCTAATTAAATTGATATTTTCATCTGAATCCTCTGCTTCTTCGTCTCAAGAGATTAATGTGCGGAGTAAAATTTTCAAATTCAGAGACAATTCAACTACAGCTTAATCAGTTTATTGAACGGATCAATATGGACCGTTAGAATTTGTGTAAAAGGGAAAGTTTGAAGCTAGGGAAATGGAATCAGCAAGATGAGTTAGATCAGATGAAGCTGTAGATATGGTTCTCGAGGATTTGATGGACAAGCAGTCTGTATGCTTTTTCTGTAAGATGAAAACTGTCCCAAAATATGTACTTGGAGGCATTTGTACATGTATATGTGCATAGGTATGCTACTTCCACAGAACCCGTGCCACAGCATCCCTTGTTCGCAATTTCAAATCCTGCCTCAAAAGTAAATGACTTGAAATTAAGAGATGGAAAACAAAATTGAAGCACAATCTACAAAAAAAAATTCAATGGATATAAAGAACTTATTCCACTTTTGCCTAAAACTGGCCCCTATGCGTATGGGGGCTGCTCGGGTGGCCTATGGGACATCTCCCATGCCATTAGTGTGGATTCAAACCTCCCTCACCTGCCCCTCACACACCAACACACACAGCAAATATATAAGCTTTAATTGAACTACTCAAAAACAGGAACCAATAAATCTTAGTTTTTAGCACATGCTTTATTGTACTCGGCGGATATTCATCTTTTTTTGGGGGGTTTTCTTTTTAATATGCTTCATTAATAACTAGCTAAAGGATAGGTGGTTTACCATATTTTTTGGGTTCGTAAATGAGATCAAGTGGAAGATTGTATATATCCAGATAGACCACCCTTGCTTGCGGTAGATTGCTGTTAAGAGACTTCAACTCAGCTGACAGCTTGTAGTTGAACAACTGTGCAGCTTGATTATAATTTTCTACACAATTTCTTTGTACTCCTCCTGCCAAAGTCCTCTGTGCTGGCACACATCCTATTGGTGGAACTCCAAAAACACCAATTTTTCGTGCTCCCAATCCGTATAAATGCTTCCAAACCAGCACAAATAAGGCAGTTTTAGTCATTTGTGGATTCAAATTAATCGTGTAGTACATGGTGCAGACAGATATGTCATGTATGACCCAATATCAAGCTTATGACCCAATATCAAGAACCTCGGTTAAACACAACTCCATGCCTCTTCTAATTAACGAGATTAGATCCCTAACCTCCCGATTGGAAGTGAGGGTGATACCACTTCTGGCCTTATCTTTACTAATAAGATAGGACTCATTTTGAATCTTTTTCTACTTTAAAATTTAATTTATTTGGAAAAGCATAAGAACGGCTTAGATTAAATCCACTTTTAATTCAAAGGCCCACATTTTCATCTCATTTCTTCCATTTCAATCCAATGGCTTGCAATGCATCTCAACCCAAAAAAAAAATCCCGCCCATTTTGAACCCAAACACACGCCACCCCCAATTAAACCCTCTGCCCCTCTCTCTCTCTCTCTCCAATCTGCCATGGAACTAGATTGTAAGTCCCCTATATTGCTGTACATTTTCCCCTATATTGTTATATAAAACACATAAGTCTCCTATACTGCTATGCATTTTCCCCTTAAAATCACTCATTTCTATTACATGCTCAACCATTTAATATTTGATTAATTTATAATTTAACATAATTTTGTTAAAAAAATTTATCGAATTTCATATTTTGAAAAAATTTTGTCAATATCTTTAAAAAAATAATGGGTAAAAATAAATTTTGAATGATTTAATCAAATAAATAAATGAAAGAAAAATTATTATTTAATATAGGATATAGATTTTTTAAGACTCAAATTTTTTGTTCTATCGTGCCTTCAGG